ATTTGAACACCATCCTTTTACACCTAAAGAGGATATTCTTTCTAACAGTTATCTGGAGCAGACTTCAACAAATATGGTATTGCAACTGCAGATTAAGCCGGTTTATCCCAATTCTACAAGACACAAGGATGCCCTTCAATCCTTGCAAAAGCAATTGTTCCATCATATGAGGCCACCGCATAAATGAACCCATTCTTGAGGAGAAACTTCTCATGCAGACAACAGGGAACCATAATTATTTGGTCCCATAAGGACTACTAACTCTTCCTTGCTCTAGAAAAATTCTAAAATGCGCATCTTAGGTGGTTTGGATGACACTCCAAAAGTGTAGACAATAATCAACGACTTAACTTAGGTTGATACATCTCCAATGCTCATAATCCCTTAAATTTATCTTCCACTACAACAGAACAAGAGTTCCATACTCTGATAGACTTGATAATATCAAGTTAGAGTAAACAACCTTTATCATGTTTAAGAGAAACACCAGCCATACATTTTGAGAAAAATAAATTCTCAGCACTAAGTGTCAAGACATTATGTTTGACATATGTTCAAGGTCTTCCACTCCATATTAAAGACTCTTATCGACAGCTGCCAAGAACACCTTAGAGAATCATACATTTCCCTTCCAAAAGCATCATAGCTTCTGCACTCCTATAATCATTGATTAGAAATAAACTAACATCAGGAGTACTCAATAGGTTGATCAACTCTTGATTAGTCCACCTATCTAAGACATGTTTTCTGGATAAAACATCTTAGATACACATCCCAGATACCTCCTCTTCCAAATCAGTAGAAGGTTCTAAACACATGTGATTAACACATTTATTTAGCACCCAAAGCATTTGTTATGCAACAGGGATCTGCACACCTGCTGATATGATGTTTCAATATCCAATAGAACATCAGTTCCCTTGTCACAAAACACAAAATAATCCTTGTTCACTTTCAAGGTCTTCAATGGAAGTCCATGTTCTAACAAATCAATATGAAGATATGAATGATCACAGATTCTCTTAATCTTGATCAACTTCTCTTAAGATTCTTATCAAACTTATTTATAAGTGCCTTTATGAGTGGACTTGAGATAACCCTTAAGTATCTTTGGCACTGTTAATAAGTTAAGTAGAAAAATATGCCACATAACACAACATCATAGGATAGCCCTACTGAGGAGACAAAACTCTAATTCCTTACCAAGAAAATACCTAACTAAAGTCTTACCACCATAGACACATGGAAAACCATGGCTTACACTAGATACCATTCATTGGAATAAACAAAAACTCCTCAACAACCTTCAGGCACGACTGAATAATCCTTGCATAGAATCACCATAATCCAGGTGCCAACAACATAGCCTAAGTTTGAAATAAATCAAACCTAAAAATAGCAGCTCTCTACCAAAGCTATAATCCTGACAACAACATACTGGTCCAATACATACCCTATCATGAACAACCCATCCTCCACTTCTAGGGACCATTCAAACAATAATGTGAACTATCCAAGTTCAAACAACTTTTCAGTAATCACCTTGTTCCTTGCACATGACCAGAAAGTATCGTCCCAGGATCTCACCCAGAAATAAAACAGGATGCCTGCTCTAATACCAATTAAAATTCTGGTTTATCAGAATTCAGATATCCTATGACATGTCAAGACATCTGATCTGAACAAAACACATAGGCAAGGTATAATCATACAAAAATAGTACTGAAAAGATAAACAATACATAAAATTGTTAACCTAGTTCGATGACAACAACAATTACTCTGGAGGCATACCAAGCCAAGAAGGAAGTTCACTAGACAATATCAATTCAAAGCTAAAATCCCTCATTTACAAATTATCACTTAATCACTACTCTATGCAACTACTACCTAGGTCTTCCCTAGATATGAGAAATCCCATCTCACCTTCAATCACCGCAGTGATGTCTAAAAGTCCCAGTCCCAGTTACTGTATTGACGACCTTTCACCAAAATGAAGATCACACTTAAAATACAAAAACACTAGAAGACACATTTCTATGACAATATCTAGCCAATACTCTTGACTAAGAACACAACCTGGATTTGTTTAAAAGCTTCCTCCAAGAACAATACTCACTCTTGCTTCACAACTTTGGGGAGAATAATAATCGACTTTGTGCTTAAAAGCTTAATAGAGATAATAGAACCTTGCAACTCAAGAAACACATTCTAACTCACATGTCGTGTGGAATACACAACAAACTTTCCTAGGGAATGGTGCAGACTCAGTCCTAATAACTACATCTTTTCAATTCACGGCTGGTACTTTCTTCTAGGTTATAATGCTTATATTTATAACCTTTTTCCCAACTGGATTTGGACTTCAAATCACAGTATATCAGCTGCTACAAATCAGTAGAATCTTCTGCTACAAAATAGGTATTCAATCAAAACCTTCCTAATTTATCTCCATAGTTATAGTCATATTCTTCTTGATTTCATCTTGAATCTTCCATACATGTAAATCAGTGCCACATAGGACTGCATAATATTCCTAGAATATTCTACATCTGTTAAATCATAACAGAATCCAACTGTCCAATTCAGCACAGGCGTGATATTGAATGACTCTGCATAGGACATCTTATCCGACATGTTGCTCCAGATGATGAAACATTTCATCTCAACATGTCTTAACATAAAATAGGACTTCTTGCTCAACTTGTTCTTCTTAGAAAGTTAATACATCCTATTTAATATATTGTTGCTATATTAGTTTTACCAAATATAATGTCAACCATAAAAACAGAGAATTAACAAATGTACTTCGCCAATACTGGCCACCATGCACCAACACATGTTATAACAACTCAGCAATATCAATATACAGCATATCAAGCAACAACAATACATTTCAGATTATGTCACACCACAACATAAATAATACAATGCATCTAACACCATTACACAACAAATTATTCATTTTGAGGCACTGAAACCAAGTTTAGAATAAATTTCATCACGCCAGCTTTCTAACACTTCAAACGGCAATCGAATGGGCCACCCGAAAACAAAGTTATGGATTTTCAAAATTTTTGACACAATAGTATAACCGATTACCTCAAAACATGCAACCAGTTTCCTCAATTCCAAAAACGGAATATACAATTTTTCTCTGAGGTAATCGGTTACCTCATCCATGTAACAGGTTACATCATCCAAAAATGTCCAGAAAACACGTTTAAAAGCAATGTAACTAGTTACCTCAAACATATAATCGATTACATTGTTTACATAAGCACTTTTCTGCAACTTTTTCAAAATGAAAATCACTTTAAGCCATCCCAAAACACCATTTTTATTACAAATTATTTAGCTTATGTTTTAACATGAAATATCTCTTTAGGTCACTATCTCACATCAAGGGTATCCCAAACACACCAAAACACCAATATCACATAATCACTAAATACCACATAATTAAACTACGGAAAATAAATAAAATAAGCCGGTCGTTACAGTTGTCGTCACCTTTAACATCTACAATATGCCCAGTGTGTTTGTACATAAAAGTGGCTTATGTTTAATGTGGATGATTTTTGGTAACAGTGGTGGATGATATTTGTGCATAAAAGGTGGCAACTCTTCAAAGCGGCATCTCACTTAGCGTTGGAAAAAATATTTGGGTGCATCATATCTAAAACCAATCATAACAGAAAAATTGATTAAAAACTCAAAGTATCAGGAAAATTCGAAGATGGGTCTCTAGAGCATATGAAACTTAGTCTAGAGATGCATATTTGAACTTAGCCTTTTTTTATCACAAAAGCCAGACTAATGCAATAAATGAGAGATAAAATAAATGAACTTTACCTTAAATTCTAGCTTCTTTGACTCTCTTTGATGTGATAAAATACAAGAATTGTGTTTTTGGTTTTGAAAAGTTAATTGAGTATGGAAGGAATTTTTTAAGGTTTTTAGAGGTAAGTAGAGTTTGATCACGAGGAAGAAGAACATGCAAGGAGTATTTTATTCAGTTTCTCGTTAGACATTTCTAGATATGTATCTCCGAGAACATCATTGAAAATATCATATATATGAGATTTTACGGAGATGCATCTCCGTATACACTTCAAATAATATACGGACACATCTCCAAATTAACTTTTTACAAAAATGGGATGACTGACTGAAATATGAGAACTGGTATGATTTTAGATGTATTTGGAGATACATCTTCGAACACAACAATTATTTTTTTAAAACTTTCAGAGACGTGGAACACGCCTTATCGATCGAGTGAGTATTGCCATAGTATTAAAAACATAACTTTGCATTCTTAGAATCACATTTTTAATCATTTTGGCAACATTCAAATAGAAATAATACGGGTAGTAGTAGTGGAGCAGAAGCCCGTGTCATGAGCATGGGTCCAAGACCACAACAAAATATCCACATGGAAATCCAAACCCACCACAAACATTGCATTCAGAATCAAACATAAATATTTAATTGAAAGAGACACAAAATTTGAGAGTTAGCTCCAATCATCACAAATGTTAATCATTTTTAGAATATAATCAATCTCAAGAGGACCAAATGGCACCTTTCCCTAACAAAAATATTGATGTGACATTAGAGCTAGTGCAAGAATACATAGCACCTTTGTATGTAGGACTAGCCACCATATCCTTTTGTTTACTCAAATCTTAAAAAATAGATTTATTGAAATGTCATTGAGGTTTCTGTTTCAACCATCTAATTTTAATTAATGATATATATTATTTACAATTGATTTTGTTACTATGTAATTTGAATTGTTTGATCTTAAATCAACGTGCGCAAATTTATCAGTCTATATAGATTACTATAGTTTTATATGAACTCTACTAATACATATACATTAACATTGATGTTTTTGAATTAATTGATTGAAAGATGAGTTGCCAAATTTTCAAAAATAATTACATATGTACATCTTAATAACACTATACAAGAATTATTATTCTATTTACTAATTCAATCAAGTGTTAATGGTGTCACACTAATTGGGAGTTTCCTTTTCATCTTTACAGTTGGAAAGTAAATAATTTCATCCTTCTCAGCAACCCATCTGCAAATTTAGTACATATATTCATTTACAAAACCATTTCATAAAATTAAACTTCTTAAATTTATTCTAAACAAGTGATTAATTACCTGTAAGTTGTAACTAGATGATGAAGGAAAATAGAGAGCTCTAGCCTAGAGAGTTCTATCCCTGGACATAATCTTTGTCCACCACCAAATGGTGTAAAACAGTTGTTTCTAGTCCCACCTTCAATTTTCTGCACTAAAAAAATATATATAGTCATTACGATTTTTTTAAATTGCGGCCGAATCTTTTATTTTTTTTAAAAGTTATTCAAAGTGTAGGATTCGCTTATCTTACGACCTATATATTTAGTAATACATCTGAGTCTTGCGATTATTATATTTAGTAATACATCTGAGTCTGTGACTCTGACTGCAATTCCAATTTAAAATGAGTATAAGTTACTAACCTCCCATCTCCATGGATCAAATTCAAAAGGCTTTTCATAGTTGATGCCATCTAAATGAACAGATGTAAGAGATGCCACAACACACCAATCCTTAGGAATTAAGTATCCTGCATATTTTTCAAAGTGATGAAACATCATGAAATATAAATGTTACTTTGTGCAAATATTTAAGAATTTGATTCAGTTAAAAAATAAATAAAAAGTAACCTTTAATATCTACATCTTTGATAGATTTTCTCCAAATGGCATTGACAATATTTGACATTCTAAGAGTTTCGTTGATTACCTGGTTGAATGAAGAAAAAGTAATGCTTTGTTATTTATTTTTTTAGAATCTATTAATTAGCTTCTGAGTTAGAGTTAGAGATGATGCAAACTCTCACATTTTGAGTAAATTGCATTGACAAGTAATCACTCCATGCATAATCGTCGGAACAATTCTTGTTCCTCTTCAATTCCATGTTCTCTTCCTGGTACCAAATAGGAGTAGTAACTTTTTCCAAAGAGAAATTATTTTTATATAAAAAAAAGATGAAAAGAAAAATGTGAGTAAATGAGAAAAGCAGTGAATTAAATAGGTGGTCCTAAATCGTAATAGATGATAGGCAGTGAATTGAATAGATATGGTACGGTGAAGAAACATACACTCCCCCATATGCGCACATCACATCACATCACATCACTCCACTCGTGCATATCATGGTGCACCGTACCACAAATCTTACGTTACTTTATGGATTCCATTCATTCTGTACCCTCTTCTCTTCTCTTCTCTACACACTTTACATCACTAGATCCTCAATATCTTTTATTCATTTTAACACATTTTTACAAAACTAAATACTATATGATATTTAAAATTTGAATGAGTAAGAAACTTACCACTAATTTGGATAGAGCAAGAGGAGAGTCACTAAGATACTTAACAGCCATGGTCATAGCTGTAGGAAGAGTCTCTTCACCAGGAATCATCATCTCAATTATATTCTCACTCTTTTTTCTCAACTCACTTTTATTATCCTCTAAAAGTATATCCACTACATCATTTGCCACACAATCCTTCATCTTCTTCTTCTTATTATAATTATTATTATTATTATCATTCCTTTCCTCTATTATCCTTTGCACTATCTTCATCATTTTCTCCTTAGCCTGCACCCACAATCAAATGGTGTCTAATAGTTATTATTTACCATTACTAATATTTTTGTGTTGAGGAGGAATTATTAATACCTTTAAGGATTTATATAGTCTTGTTCCTGGAAACTTAATGGGCAAGCAAATTAATCCTTTGATGAACTCTTCAAATTCTCTCTTCAATGTAGATAAATCTTCACCCGGGTCAATGCTCATTAGAACTTTCACCAAAATAGTAAATGTAATCTGATAAATATATATGTCCAAGTAGGAAACATAAAATAAAAACATTGTTAGTATCTCAATATATTGGTTATCATGTCAAATTTTTAAACACAAATGTTGACTAGGGTTTAACATTAGAACACTCTTGGCAAGACCGTCTTAAATTTTCGGATACTCTTTGTATTGTGACCAACAATTTATTAATCTTTATTTAAGCATGATTTAACCATTTCAATTTCGTGGTTTTGTGCAGTTTTTGGAGCCTCAGGCTAGATTAATTATAGATTAATTATGATAAAACAAATAGAGATACAATGTAATTACAGTTCAACCATGACAAATATTCTAAGAAACTCTATTTAACCAAAATTTAACTGTGACAAATTATGAATAATGTGCAGTAATTCCGCCTTGCACGCATTAAAAACGGAGCAGTTTCAAAGACAGTGTTGCCTCTAGGGTAGACTTTAATGAAAAGTTGATGAAATAAAGACATTGTATGGTACAGAAAGGAAGAAAATCAGCGAGAAAAATGATTTTCCAACACCCTCAAAAGAGGTGTTGGGGGAAAAGAGAGTGCTAAAAAGGATGTAGAAAGGGAAAAAGGACAAAGAAAGTTAAAAACAATAGAAAGAAGAAAAAAATAGATATAATAATAATAATGATTTAGTTAATATAGTAAAAGAAAAATGACCTTTTTAACTTGATCTTGAACGTATACTGGTTGGTGATGAGTCCAAGTAGCTAAACATTGTTCAACAGATTGCTGAATATCTTTTGTGATTCGAGCTTTGAATTGTGGAGAACGAAGGAAACCTCCAAGGAGTGAATGAAGTTTCCTATGCATGTTCCCATTCATTTGAAGTATAGAGTTTTCTCCCATTAATTCTCTGATCGATTTTGGATAAGCAGGGATGAAAATGTTGCCTTGATTTTGTAGAATCACTTTGTTTATCTCTGGATCTGTCGACACAATCACACCACTTCCTAATATGCTTGTCTTAAACACATTACCATACCTACAACCATACACACATTATCATATTTCTAGTGTAAATTTTTTTGGTAATTGTTCAGCCGGTTCGCCTCGTCGGGCCTATAGTGGATGGCCCAACAACAAACATCGCACGAAAAGACGCACAGAACAACTCGACCGAGGACACGTGATTCCAGCATCCGACGCATTTTACGCTAGTAGGGCTTTATATACTTAAATTCGCAGTATATAAAGCCCTACTCATGACATTTGAGTATTCCTCTCATTTCTTTAAGCAACTTGTTAATTAAGTACTAATATTTCTTTAACTTTGTGGTGATAATTAGTATGTTAATTTAACTAACCTTTTATTCTTCTAATATAGTATAAGTATGTGTGTGTGGACCACTTTGAAAGACAAAATTATCAGCCACACATGGTGATCAATAAAATTTAATATGCGAATATTGTAAAGGACCACACTATACTACTTTCTAAAGTTGTGCTTTCACAAAGAATAGACTAGAAGAAGAATAGGGGGAGATGGACAATAACTTTTATTTTTGTTTTTCATCTAAATAGTAAATGAGTATGGGCAATGGATATTCCTATAAAAGAATCATAAACATATCTTTCTAAATAAATCGACCATTGATAGTTCTTGTCACTTGGGAAATCATTTGTGCTAATCAAATGATGTAATGTTTCAACTTCCAACCGTCTTTATAGATAAGAATAAAAAATGAAGAAAAAGAAATGTTGGTTGAACATGCATGATCATATAATAAAAAAGAAGTGATTGTTTCTTACAATGACTTGCGTTTTTCCATGAAGCTAAGAGGATTAGAGGTGTATCCACAAGCAATGAAATCAAGAGTCTCTCCAAGTAAAGGCCAACCTTTGTTTCCTTTTGGAACTTTTCCTTTCTTCTTCATATTCTTCATCATCACTTTATTCTCTTTCTTCTTTACACATAAAAACCACCAAGATACTAAGAAAATACTCATAAAAGAACATAATCCTATGATCCATCCCATGTTAGCAAAGCCTCTTCTTTCCTTTTCGTATGATGACTTTGATCAAACCCTAGTAATAGATTGTTTATTGTGGTGACTTGATGAGTTCATGCACCTTGTGTTTTCCTTTAGAGAGAGAGAGAGGTGATGAATGTTTGATAAGGAAGAAACTTCTTTTTGTCGTTCCCTAGGGAGGGAATATAAATGAGAGTGGGGAGACACATATTGAGGGAGATTGTGAAGATCTAAGGATTAAAGCAATCATTTAATGTGATGGTCTTATTGGGTTCACCTAATCAACCACAATGGTTTATTTTGTCTTCACTCATTTTATAAGGAGTTCTTCCCCATATGTCTAACCCCACCCCCCATGCCATATACTATCTTCATCCATGTTAAATTATTTTTTCTTGGATTAATTTTGTTCTAGTTTTAAGATCTTATAAATTTAGTTTAAATCTACTTTTAGTTTCTCTAAATCGGTGGTTTTAAACTTTTGATCTCATTTTATCAAAAACTCAATTTTGTATCCTTCTATTTTATATTACTAACAATATTTTGTTGATCCCTCTCCCCTTTTGAACATGTGACATTCTCATTTAATAACATTGTCAATAAAATGCTATATAAGCAATTGTGTTTTTTAAAAAAATAAAATAAAATGATTTATTAATTTTTTAATATAATTTTAAAAAACATTTAAAGGAATTAATTTATATTTTAAATACTCCTCAATCTTTTCTAGATTCTACGCTCATCTTCTTCCTTTTAAATTGTGGTTTAAAACCTTATAATTTCATATTTTGCCACGCTCGTCTTCTTTCTTGCAATATTTGTCATTTTCTTAAAACAAACCAAAGAAGATCTGATCATCCTTTCTAATCAAGATGTTGATGTACTTGTTGAAGTTGATAGTTGTGTTGTTGGAGTTTGTTTGAAGATCCATATTACTAAGATTCTTGGGTTGTTGGATGTATAAATATTTGAGGACAACCTCACTCTTTATGTTAGCTTTTGGGATTGAGATCCAAGCCTATTTAACTTGGTATTAGAATCGGGTTAAAGACTGCAATATGGGCATTTCATCCAGGTCCACGCTGTGTGAGAATGGGTGTTAAAGTTGGTATTTGTGTTGTTGGAATTTGTTTGAAGTCTCACATTACTTAGGCTCTCGGAATGTTGAATATATAAATATGTGAGGGCAACCTCACCCTTTGAGCTAGCTTTTGGGGTCGAGATCCAAGCATATTTAATAGCACTCAGTTTCCACCATGGGAAATGAATATTGTCCGTTTAAGTACGAATGCAAATATGGTATTGATGCTCCATTGATTACGATATGAATTGATGCGAACACAGGTCATCGTTTCTTTGGTTGTGAGACGTGTAAGGTAAATTTTCACTTCTGTAGATTTTGATGTAGTATTGTTTTACCCATGTCACATTTTTACAATTCATTAATCTTCTTTCATCTCCACTAATATTTCTAACGTCAAGACTATAAGAAATGTAATCATTTTGTTTGATTGGATGAAGAAATGAATCACATGGCAAATGAATTAATCTCCTTATTACTACACAAATTAAATAAAGAGAATCATCGGGTTAATAATGTCAAACACTACGTTAAACAAGACTTTAGACAGCGTTTTTTTTTTTGCTTTAGACAGCGCTTTAAAGCGCTGTCTATTCCAACACTACTGTAGGAAAAAACAGCGCTTTGTTAAAAGTAAAAGGCTGGCTAAAGGGGATCTTTAGCAGCGCTTTTACCTTTAAAGCACTGGCTAAAGGGGGCCTTTAGCAGCGCTTTTACTTTTAAAGCGGTGCTAAAGGCCCCTGTTGCACCCCAAAATTTGCCCTCCCATATTCTTCAAGAAATTGCCAAGTCAAGCTGCAAAATTCCCCAAGGGTTGCACAGTGCAAAGGTCTCCCATACAGTCAAAACTAGGGTTTGTGTTCTGATCAAGAGAATGAAGTTTTCAAAGGCCCAATCAAGTCTCATATGCCTACAAATATGGTCAAGCATCCTCATATCAAGTTTCAAGGCATTCAGCTCAAGATTGCACAGTCAAAAACCCTAAATTGCACTACAATCAACTGTAGGGGCAAAATGGTCATTTGACAGTCAAAAGTTCAAATTTTTTATCAACATATCATTTTGAAGCCACAAACATCATTTGATCAAAGCTTGATCATGATTCTCAAAATTTGGCTCAGAAATCATCAAGATGCAAAAGTTTCCTTATGTGGACAGTTGAAAAAGTCAACTGAAATTGACCAGGGCATAACTTTCACATGGATTATCAGAAAAATTCCATCCAAAGCTCATTTTGAAGAGAAAGACATTTCCTACAACTCATCTTCATACTTCAAGTCCAAGAAATGCTCTCACAAAAAGTTATCAATTTCAACATTATAGGTCATTTTCAAAAGTCAACAAAAAGGGACTTAAAGTCAAAGGCCATAACTTGAGATTGGTAAATCAAAATGACATGGGACCAAAGACATTGGTTAGAGGACTCAAAGACCTTTCCAAAATGTCCAAGAACATGAGAAAAGCTTAAACATTGAGCAAGTTATGCCTTGTGGAAGTTGGGAAATTTTTGGATATTTTGAAAAGTCAACTTTGATCCAAATGACCTAAAATTGCTAATGGGCCCATTTTTCTTCCATGATTCATCATTCCAAGCATGTGCACGACCACTTGGCCCAAAGGGAAGTATTTTCTCATTTTTTATTTATTTATTTGAATTATTATTTATATTAATTCATTTAAATCATTTAAATATATGAAAAATATTTAATTCACCCTAACAAATCTTTTTATACATGTTTTGCCATCAAGATTTCGTGCATATGCTAATTAGGAAAGAATTGGATTGATTGGCATGATTGAGAGCAAAGAACACTTGAAAAAGATTGAAAAAAGATCCTTAAAATCAAATTTTCTAAAACCATCAATGCCATGGATTTGATTGAGTTTTGTTGACCTAATACACTCAGTACATAAGCATGATCATAACCCTAATGATGCTAGACACAAAGCTGCGCAGAAAAGCTCTCTACAAACTTGAAATTTTCTCAAAGAAACTCAAAACTGTAAACCACTTTAGAGGTCGATTCAAGGCATAAAAACCATCCCATTAGCTTCCTTGAAGGTTCCTGAACGTGTTCCAATCCATAACACTCATCAAAACTCCAAGAATTGGTATATTGAACCGAAACTGCATCAAGAAAATTCCACAATCGTGCATCATGATTTAAGCATCTTTTGCATTTTTTATTTATGGATTCATGTTCATTATGATGTTTTGAAGCTAACCAATGCATTCAATTGTATTTTTGTGCGCTATATACGATTATACCATGATTGAATTTTAGGGTTTTCAGAGCTTCAAATTAGGGATTCTGAAACTAGGAAAAATTGAGACTCCAAACCACCACCATTCAAACCAGCAAGCTTGGACGAAGAAGATGCAACAATCGCGCTGAATTTATGTGCCAAGGAGAGCTAATCGCTATTTTCTTGAAAACGGCCTAAAAGAACAGTTATAAAACCGTTGCTTTTGTTTTTGTTTTACAGGGATGGTGAGGAAGATGATGTGTTGTCAACAAGTGATACGCTAGTTTGAAAACTCGCGCGCGTTCCCAAGCGTTGACCCACTTTCTTTTTATATTGTTTGTTTGATATTATATATTAAATGTAATTGAAGTGGCTCAGTGGCAGGTACATATGCTTACAACGTCCAAGACCTGGGTTCGAACCCCAGGTCTGCGTTATTCTTCACATTATTTTTCCACAGGAATTCATGTGCGTTTTCAATGTCAAGACACAGCATACACCTTCATCATCCTTCCACCCACGTGTACACTGAGATCAAGTCAAGGGCGGAGATTGGGAGAGCACCATAAACGCTGGTCAACATTGCTGTACGCTACTCAAAAAAGTCAATGGACCCATGTCTTATTGGGCCAGAATTTCACAATCAAAACCTCCATATTGGGACTTCCACCCCCCCTGGTTTGCAATTTTCTTTTTTTTATTTATTTTTTGTTTTCAATTGTTATTTTATTTACTTTATTGTTTTGATTTAACTAATTATTTTTTAACAAAATACAAAAACATCATAAAAAATCAGAAAAGACAAAAATATAATAAGTATTTTATTTTGATATTTTCTTGTAAATAAATTAGCATGTAATTAATTAGTTTTAAATTAGGTTACAATTTTAATTCTTTTCATAATAAAATCTAAAAAATGTAGAGTTAGGTTTAGTTAATTTTTATTCTTTTTTTAATATTTCTTTTTCACAATAATAATATTTATTTTATTTATTTTTTATAATTAAATTTGCATGAAAATAATTTAGGGTTAATTTAGGTTTAAAACTTCAATATTTTTCTTAATAACTTAAAAAATAATTAGAACTAGGTTTAACATTTTATTTTAGTTTTAATTAATTCTTTTTCTATTAAATCTTAAAAAACATAAAAATACCAAAAAAACATTTTCTTTTAAATTTTAATTTTAATTCCTTATTAATTTTAATTTTTGCGAAAGGGTTCAACGCCTATATTTTTAATTGTTTAATTTCGCATATTTATTTTATTTCGTTTCTTTTAAATAATTATGTACTTCTCCCGAAGCCTTGTAACGTTTAATTACTTTTCGCCCTTTTATTTGCTTTACTTTCTGTCAAATCGGGTCCAGTTTAATTTTGGCGATGTGGACCCGCGCCATTTGTAATAGCTTTAGATTTACTTTTCCCGCAAATTTTTTAACTGTTAAATAAAGCATGCAAGAATGAATGGACTTAAATAAAATCAAGCGTAGAAAACCAATAACATGACAAGATAAATGCAAATGAAAACAACACACGAATCGCACACACCACCCCTAGGGTACGCCTCACTGTTGCCTTGCCTCGAAAGGTGATCGTCGAGTAGAGGATGTCTTAGTAAGTCCTCATGATCCGGGAACCTGGCATGAGGGTAGCTTCTAAGGTGTCTTCCCATTGCT